TTTAAATTAATTTGATTATATATAAATAATAATATTTAACTTTTATTATTTTAGCCATTAAATACATTAAGTAATATCAATCACAATCTTTATAATTTTATAATTAATGAAAATGAGTGAATATATTTAGAAGAAATTAAAAAATTATTAAGAGTAAATAATAATTTTAAAATATTTTATAATTATAATTTTATTATATATTAATAAATTTAATTTAGGATTTTGCAAAAGCAACAAAACAAATATCTGGAAATAAATATCTGACACTTTCTTATTCAATACCTTTTTATAATATTTTATTAAATAAATTGGAAAAATTTTGTGATTTGGCAGAACATTTAAAAGAAAATAATGTAATTTTTTTTTAATTTTTTAATTTGAATTAATTGATTTATTTATATTTATATTTATTATTATATTATAGAAAACAGCAAAAAACAGAATTGAAAAATTAAAAAAATATTATAGTAAAACAGGAGCATCGGTATTGTGAGAGGGGAAGAAAATGGAGAGTAACACAGTTTGGATCACATGACCGATGATCGACCCAGTATTGTATCGAAGAAGTAGAGAATGAAACAGACAGAAACATACGAGTAATAATAATGTAATTAGTGTCATATTATGTAATTAGCGAGAGAAAAATATGAGAATTTCTTACCTTTTCTTGATCTTTTTAAAAGTTTCGAAACCTTTCTTGAGAAAAAATATATATTAGCTGACAAAAAGTAATCATTAAAGGGAGTTCTAGGATACAATTTAATAAAGAAAAATACTTACCTTGGCCAAATCTAATGCCTCATCAAAACCCTATCTTTAAAAGAAATTTAACACTATCATTATACAAACTTTATTACTCATTAGCGACTGACTCGCCGTAACCATCCCAACAGTATATACAGTTGCTACAGGTAATTAAATATCAATTTTTTTTTATAATTAAATAAATATTTATTATGTTTATTTAATTAAAATCTATATTAGTTTTAGATCCACAACTTAAATTACAATATATGGAAGATTATAAATGGGAAGAAGAATGGATTAATGATGCAAAAACAAAAGTATATATAATATTTTTATATATAATTTAGAAATTTATTTATTTAAATTGTTTATTTTATAGGTATTAAAAATTTATTGTGAAAAATATGCACCTAAAGAAATTGAAAATATGGTAATAAATTATGATTCCAAGGATGAAGATTTAATATCACATATTTCTAAATGATCAAATTTTATTACAAGTGAAATTGAAATATATTTAAAAACTGAACAAGCTTCAGCACTTACTGATCCATTAAATTGGTAGAAGGTAAACTATTTTATTTATTGTATTTTTTTATATATTAAATATTAATAATTTTTTTATAGCAATATTCAGATGAATATCTGAATTTAAGTAAAATGGCAAAAGATTATTTAGCAATTCCAGCAACAAGTGCACCTGCTAAAAGAATTTTTTCAAGTGCAAGTGATTTAATTACTCAAGATAGAACTTGTCTTGCTACTGATACAATTCATACAGTAATGTGTTTAAAACATTGGTATCGATCAAATTTATGTTATTAATATATATATATATATTTTACAAGACCTTTTTTTTTTTTTATTACGAATGTGTATTAAATAATATTTTATAAGACCTATACTATAATGAAATCATATGTCTCTATTATTTTTGAATATATTTTTAAATTAGATTTTATAGTATTGATATATTTCTAATTATGCAAGTATCAATAAAAATCTGTATCATTACGCATTTATCTATAAAAAAAAAATTTTATAGTGTAGATTTTGATTTCGAGCAGAGTGCCTATCATCATCATTTTAATTGGAGTTAGCTTATTTATATTAAAAAAATTTTTATAATGATCATTTTATTATATGTATATAAAAATTAGGGGCAGTTATCGCCTTTCAAGGCAGGCCTAGGATCCGACTGTTCCCTCCTTAATGCCAAAAAACTTTTTGCTTTTTGTGTTATTGAATATTATTATTTTATATCAGCAGATAGGTACTTATCTAAGTTATCGTTATAAGTTCACTTAGTGAGTTATGGGGTGCAACAGATGCATAATTATCATTATTTCATTGAAAGTTGATGGATTATTACTTTAATAAGGATAAGGTTCCAATCCGCAAAATAATATAATTTATTTGGGGGTGCTTATTTTCAGAAATAATAAAATCATTTGGATGTTTATTTTTGAAGAAAACAATTAATAAAAACTTGGTCAAATAAAAACACGTCTTAAATCCTTCTTTCATTTATTTATCTTATAATGGTTATGCGAATTTCTGCTAGAGTGTGTGACAGACTTGCTGTTACACTGTTATATTTTTGGTGATGACTATGAGATCCAATGCTTCGTTACCCCCCTGAGAAAGTTTATTCTTAAGGAGTGACGAAAATAATGTTGTGTCCGTGATGATTGGAGAAACAAAAACCAATTCCTCCCCAACGACGATGCCTATGAAGAAGTTGGCTGCTGATATATGTTGAATAGAGAAAAAGGCATCATCCTGACCTAAAAGAAGTTTCAAACCAATGATAGGAGCTCCAGAATGGCTTGTGCAGAAGAAAAGCGAAGCCTAAAGAACAACGATCATGGGATTGGCGATATATGTGCCTCCCCCTAAAAAAATTAAAAAAATAATAAAAAAAATAATGAATTAATGATATCGTAACAATGGAAATTCACCACCCTTGCTCAAAGAAACAATAAAGAATAATTCACTTTTTGAAACAGTAGAAGCTTCAAATAGAATTACTTAACTTAAGGCAGAAAGGAACGAAAGGAGCAGTTAAAGCCACATTAGAGATTGAGGATACTAGTTGCAACATATTTTGAATCAAGAAAATACTTATTTCTTAGCGAGAATAATGCCAGAATATCAACAATTACGAAAGTTATGATGCCAAAAAAAGCAAGGGACGAGTTCCTAAAAGAAAGAAAGGACCATCTAGTAATAATAAAGAAACTAAAGGCAAAGAACTAAAACTTACTAACGAGACTCTGATAGCTTATGTCAGGGATGTTGATATTGCCAAGGGTTAAGGAGAACCCGTGAATAGCAAATAGATGTCAAGAGCATAGGATTAGGAAAGAAGAAATGGTAAGAAAGAGTTAGAAGTTATTGGTAAAACGTTGCAAAAAGAAAAAAACACCGTGGCTTATCAGAATTACATCAAGATGAGAGAATACGACCAAGACCGACGATTGGAAATGCCGAAATGCTATCATGATTGTGATTACAATCACAATCACGATCGAAAAAGTTTAATTATCTTACGAGTTAGATAATGCATGCCTAGAATATATACTGTATGTATACATATATATTCTCAAAGATATCCGAGCAGCAAGGAAAGTCTAATGCTCCAACAAGCCCTCCTCACAATAATTAACACCATTATCATCACGAGAAAGATGACTACCAACCGACATTGATGATGATGACGATGACTATCCAGCTGGTCCAATTGAAACTCCAACTGTTGATTGATAATGACCTAAATAATAACTACTATAACAATAATGTGATTTCTACTCCATACAAATCTGAAGAAACTACCCAGAGGCCAAAGAAGATTCTGAAACAAAGAAGACTCTGACAATGCTAAAGCATGCCATGACTAAGAACTATATGACCTATAAGAAAAAAAAAAAAAGGAAGACTATAACAAGAAAATAACAAGAACCATAAGGATAATAATGATGACAACAGAATAGAGAAAGAGAGCCTACAAAAGAGCTTATTACTGCCAAACCAACCAACGAAGCTGCAAGACAGACTTTGATGAACCTGCGATCCTCATTGATCATCACGATTGGTTGTGTAATAGTGATGGTATCTCTACAAAGCAAGATGTGCAAGCTCAAGCCTGACAGAAAACTTACCACAACAATAGATACCCAGGATTCCTAGAATACAGTATAGGAAACAAAGTCCTTATGTACAGAGCTATTCTACAGTATTCAAGAAGCAACAAGTTCGATCCTAAGTGGCAAGGACCATTTTATATACAGTATATGATCGACTATCTGACCATATATACCAATTGCCATAATGGATGGCAAGGTACTTGCATCCCCAATTAATGCCCAGAACTATTATTATTAATACTTTCAGTACTTCAGTTCGATATCGGTACTTTAAAGTATCGTATCGAAAATTTTCGGTAATTATCGATACTGATACCGAAAAAAAATTTCAATATCGGTTTTACAAAATATCGTACCGAATGGTATCGATCGGAACCCTAGTTAACTTGTATTGATAAGCTATTTCAATTATATTATTCTATATTTTCTTATATCTTTATTGTTTTGTTTATATTATTTGTAATCTATCAGTTTCTCAATCAGATGAAAAAATTGTTTTGCTAGTATTGAGATGATTTTGTCTAATAGTATTGGTTTGATTGTAAAGTTGTTGTCTTTCATTAGCTTTAGTATTGGACTATACAGGTTGAATTAATTGTGTTTTCTGATATCTTTAGAATACCATTGATTATTTATATCTGATTTTACAGATTTTATAGTCTTCTGTAAGTTGTCTTTTCTATTAGTATATTAAAGTTAGTCTCTAATCAATTTCTTGATACTGTATGTTATTCTAATTGTTGATTATTTTTTTTATTTTTTTTTATTTACACCTAATCAGGCCATATATTAAAGTTTTATTTGTATTCAAACTAGTTTACAAACTATTGGATTCAAACTGACCCCAGGTACAAATGGATAGACACATCTAGTGTCTGACAGATCTATAGTATATATTAAACTTATTATACTATATACGGCATACTTGTCAACAGCCACTGGCCTCTAAATGTGATTAAGGGGAATAAAAAAAGTTGCTCTATCTTAACTCATGTTCCTTGTGAATCTCAATATCATTGCCAGCTCTTCATTAAGACTGTTTACTCCAACTTAATCTCTGTAGTTCTAAGGTATAAAATTTTTATTTTTTTTGAAAAGGTAAAAGAAAAAGATAAAGAGGAAAAGAAAAATTTGTACTAGTAAAATAAAAACTCATCAAAACCATCAGTCTAATGAGAGCCTTTTTTGATCCTAAGGAGAAAAGAAACCAGCACAAGAAGGGAGGAAAAGACTTCCAAACACTTCTTATCAAGAGAAAATCTCAATACCTTGCTCTTTCGCTTTATCCAATTACATTATCGGTTATAATGTGATACGATGCAGAGCAAATATAGGTATATGTCTTGTTTATATTTCTTTTACATGTCGATCAACCAATCACCAACCAGAGAATCAGGTGTAACAAAAAATTCAAGGTCAAATTGAGGTAGACAAAATTTTCAAGAAAAAATCAAGAAAATTTTTTTCACACTTGAAAGTGTTATTACAGACATGTATAATTGATGAAAAAGATCATATATCTGAACGGGTAGATTTCTACCAGCTTATTCACTTGCCTGGATCACAGAAGTTTAACTTATAGTGGACCCAAGATTCTTATGGAGCTTAGAAAATGCATTCGCTTGGCAGGTCCAACTAGCTTATCCACTTGCCTCAGACCAAAGTGTTTGCTTATAGTGGATCCAAGGTTCTTATAGAGCTTGGGAAATGCATTCACTAGTGGTTCACTTTCTAGAGTTCCAAATCTTAAGAGAGAATAGTGGAGAGTATTTTTTGACAAGTTTTTTCTTCCCAGAAAAGTGTTCTTGCTGTAAATCAGATAGGTCAAGTTTTGTTTATTTTGTTACCAAAATATATAAAGTTTTTTAAAGAAGGAAGAGTAAACAAGTGGAAGAGGCACCAGCCTTCAAGGAGTAAAGTTTTTAAGGAAAGAGACTTTATTATTAAAAATAAAAAATTATTTTTGAGAATGTCTGTTTTTTTGGATTGGCAAGAGGATCAGCGGAAAGAGTTTGTTCTAATTATTAATTATAAATATATAAGATATTATATATGATATATATATACATTCCACTGTTAATTGTTGTTGAAGCTACTTTACCTTGTGTTTTATAAGTATTGTTATTTTGCTATTGTGCTTATTACATGCTTCTTATAATAATAGTACCATATTTTGAAACAAATAGTTTACTTTTTTTTTTAATTCTTAATCAATCTGAAGTTGTTTATTTATTAAATCATAATAAACCATTACAATTACAATTGTATATATAAATATTATCAATCTAGCTTACCTATCTATAATATTAAGTCTTTAGATATAACTTATAGATAAATATGGGTCCCTAAATTAAAGGTGAGGACATAATTCAAATGTTTCTTATTATTAAAAAAGTTTTTTTTTAAATATAAGATTTAAAAAAAACTATCTATAAAGATTTTTTGCAATTTAGGCCACTTGATCCAAATGTTTTTTAAATTATGTCCCTATTAAAATAATGAATAAATAATTATGTCCCTTCAAAAAGAACATAATTGATCTGCAAAATAATTTAGGAACCCATCTTTACTTATAGAAATAATATTTGCTTATATATTAATTAAAATTAAGATTCTTTTTGTTTAATAGAATTATAGCCTGCAAATAATCTTTATAGATTATATATTATGAATCCAGATGAATTTTTAATTTAGTACTAATTATTTTTTATTATATTTTATAAATTCATATATTAATTCTTTAACTTTGTCTATTTGTTAATATATGCTTCTAAATTGAATATTGCTTTTCTTCTTATTTTTCTTTTTTTTTGTCTTGATTACTTGGGCACTTTTAGAAAAACTTGGTTTTCTTGAAGATTCTTGTATAGATTTTTCAGTTCAAAATTTGATTTATATTTTATTGATAATATTGACTTATATAATTTCAATTTCTGTATTTATGTTGTTTTAAGATTTTTTTAATTCTTAGATTTATATTCAGAACTTGATTAGTTCTTATTGTAATATCATATTTATATTTCTATATTAGCTTTCTGAAGTTCTTTTAAAAGTTTAGAATAGCTTTATAAAGCAGCTATTGTATTCTGGATTATATATGTGATAGAAATTGATAGATTTTTAATACAATTTGATGCAATTATTTGATACAATTAATTGAGTCACTATTAAAATATATAAAATAATTAAGTTTGATGTAATTATTTTTGAGAATTTTGACAATTGAGTTAACAGTAAAATAATTTACATTATATGTATATTCTGAATTAAATAACTTATTTTATATTTATCAGATTTCAGCCTTTTGCAATTAAGGTCTTTGATATTAACCCAATTGCAAATTTGATTTTTTATTTTTTTTTAAAAAATCTTTAGAGATCAAGTGGAATATAGATAACTCTATATTGATAATATATAATATATTCAACAAATTTTCAATAAGTTTTTTAAGATTCTTTTAAACTTTTATATTTTTGAAAAGATATATGAATTTATTTTAATTTTTTTTAGAACAATTTTATTAAAAGTATTCTGATTATTAGGCTATCAATTATAATATTCTAAATCTTAATTTTTAGTTTTTTGAGTAATTTATGGTTTTTATCTTTTACTAGTTTTTTGATAGTAAAATTTGTAAAATCTAATACAGCCAAATATTTAATTGGTATTTTTCAATACAACTGTTAAGAATTTTTCAAAAGCACTACTAATTTAAGATTTACTTTTCTTATTGCCTTTTCTGATAATATAATCATGTCAAAAATAATCCTAACCAATTTTAAACATTTAATTGTATTACAATTCTCTTATAGACCAGTTTTTCTATTATTTAAAACATTGATTATTATATAATTAAGCTAATAATATACTGGTTTTCACAATTTTTAGAAAATTATATTAGTCCTCTAGTGAAATTGAACTTATAACTTGTGATATAGACCTATGGTACTTTTATCACTAAACTATAAATCTTTAGGTCTTTTAATATTAATATTATTATAATTTTAATAATTATAATTATAATTATAATTAATTTATTCTTTTTAATAATATGTTTAATTTTTTTTTATAATAGAACAGGCATTAGATACCAATCATTTATTGATATATATATGATATTACAATTATATCAAATATCATCTGTAATACTAGACTATAGCTAAATACTAATCTATTCTACTTTTTGTACTTAATGATATATTATTCACCCTTGAGATATATTACATATTTTTAGAGGGACCTATTTAGGGGATGGAAATCCTATTACTAGTTTTAAATTATTTAATCTACCAATCCAATTTTTGTAAGGACAATAGAATACTGCTGATTATTTAAATAAGTTATTTATCATATCACACCTTTTTACTTACACAGCTAATATGGCAGAGAGGCTTAATGTAAATATATACTTTCTAGTAAATGCTTTATTTTTTGACTGCTGGTTAACTTTTAACTATCAAATTTAGGGGTTCTTGTAATTAAGTAGGATATAACTTTTTAAGGAATATATAAGCCATACAAACAAACTCACAGATTTCTTAATCTCCTAGTAAATACTTCAGTTTTGAAACTGATTAGCTTAGGCTATCAAATCAAAAAATATACTGTAAATACCAAGCAGAATAAAATTTCTATAATATAATAAGCTATTGGAATAGCCATATAATATAAGATATTAGTATTGATTCAATATTCTTCTTCAAAGCTTTTTTATTTGATAACTAACAGAAAAGAGAAATTGGCAGTTTGGGATTAATTAAGATAAATTATAATCCAATCTATATGTTCAAATATATAGATGAATCTATAGATTTCTTTCATTAAATGATCATTGTAACATTATATAAATAATTGTTATACTACTATATTTTAATAAGAAGGTCACAATTTCAATACTTACTAAATCAGTATATAAAATAACTTTTTATAAAAAACAGTATTTGACTAGTTATAATATTAGATATTATATTAATTCTATTCAATCATTTTCACATAGAATTGAATTGATATCTTGTAATTTGATTTGCAAAGCACTAACTACTATACTATAAACTATACATGTGATAGAAATTGTTAGATCCTTGATGCAATATGAAACAATTATTTGATGCAATTAATTGAGTTACTATTAAAACATATAAAATAATTGAGTCAGATGCAATCATTTTTGAGGATTTTGGCAATTGAATCAACAGCAAAATAATTTACACCACATGTATACTATAAATCCATAGATCTAATATTTAATTTTTTTAATCTATAGAGGGAGAACAAAAGTTTTCGAACAGTTTTTTAAATTCCGGTTTACTTGTATTTCTGTGATTAAATATATGCTAAATAATATTCACATGCAGACTATTATATCGGAGGAATATAATTATATAATTATACATTAACTGATATAAAATAAGTAAATTATTAAATTATGTTACTTTGTATCATATCGAAATACGATCTATGCTACAATCAATGCTATATAAAGAAAAAGATTTGTTGCAATTTTTTTTTTATTAAAAACTAATACTTAGTAATTTTATCTTTCGCTACAATTACTGCTTGAATATGTCTCAGCATATTATCAACTAAATTTTTAATCATACTTTGAAGAATCGCTTTCTATACTTTTTTAACACACTTATTAAGTTCAATAAGACTGGAT